GGCACAGGGGGGTAATCGAGCATGCCGATTACGAATACAGTATTAGTTTTCAGACTTATCCGCTATTTTATCGATTTTATCGATTTTTTGCAAAGTTTGAGTTACGGAGCTGGGAGTTGGCACAGGGAGGGGGGGGATAAATGAGCATGCTGATTATTAACAGAGCGGAATTAGGGAATTGGCATGTAAATGTAGGCACAGAGAAAGGTTGTACAGGGATGCGGATGAGGGCTTTATCATAGTTGTTTTGACAGGGCCGGGCAGAGCCAGGTAAGCCAATAGTATACAATAAATTGGCGAAAAAAGCCTTTGTAATAACTATTGGCCATGAAACCTGTAATATAAAAGAGACCAATTTAAGCAAAAATTGGTGCAACTTTTGTGTTGAGATACTTAGCCATCAATCTTCTTATTACTTACGAAGCTTGTGCTAACTACTGCAAAGCGGGATCCGTGAAGAGATTTCGCAGAAGTACCGCTCGCGGACGAGTATATCTTTTATAGCTTTGAGTCGTTATTCTCCTCCTCAACAAGCTATTGGCTTATATCAAGTACTTTGCACTATTAAGGAAGCTTTTCATTTTTTTAGGTAAAATCAAAAACGGAAAAGTAACAATCCCAATATGTTATTCCCGTAACGGAACATGATTCGAAAAATTAATCCATTACCGTCTGGCATACAAGGCCCAAACAAGCTTGAATATTAGAGTCATTAAAGGTAGGCAGCGATCATGCGAGATGTCAAGATCTCTTTTTGGCTTTTACTTAACCTCGCTATCCGAATACCTCACTGTTTTCTTCCTCGCTGCACTCATATAGTTTGAGCACGTTTATTGGAATACACTTGCTCTTAATCGATCATACAGAGTCATCTCATGTAAACGCAGGTGGATTGTCTATCGCCTCTTATCACATAGTGCAGGGAGATGATAAGTCAATGATTAATAAGCATTTCCTTGAAAGTAAACCAACAAATCTGTGATAATTCGGAAGCGCCTCAGTAGATTGCGAAGGACAGGCCTTGACTTAGTTTCTGACTCACTTAGCACGTTGATGACGGTGTCGCGCAGTGGTGTGCGACAGGCAGTCTGTTCCTGTGAACGATGTCGCGCAATGGTGCACGAGACCCTAAATATCAGTTTTAATGTGCACAACGGTTCCAATTTGTGTTCACATATCAGTTTGGACTCAAAAGTATTTCATGTTGGCCCCGCCCTCTTTTTGGCAAGCTCCGCCCACTCCATTGCCCCTGCAAAAAAAATTTTGTCCTCAAATCGCATAGAAAAGCTCGTAGATGACTGTGGACCTTAATTAGTATCAATTTTGACCCCGCCCTCCGTAATGCAAGCTCCACCCCCCTCAGTGGCAAGCTCCGCCCACTTTTCAAAAATTCCGGAATTTGCACGAATTCATTGATTTTGAGCAATTTCCAGCATTTTTGAAAAGTGGGCGGGCTTGTCAAAAGTGGGCGGAGTGGGCGCCCAATTGCATTTTTGTATCTCACGCATAGTGCATGCATGCATACATGCAGCCGGCTGTGAAAATGCCCGGAAACGGTTCCCACAGGAACAGACCCTCAAAAAATGGCTCGTCGTCAACGTGTTAATATGAGTGCAAAATTCAGCTTCACTCGGAAAGATTTCTATAGTGAAAATATAAACAGGCTCACAAACTTTAAGATCTATGTTGGACTGGCGAGTTGAATGAAATTCACGAGCTCCGCATATGGTGAACCTGAAGTCGCTTTCAATCCATAAATTGTCGACATTTTACATTCAAAAACACATATTCAAGCACAGTTTCAACGGGCTAATATAAATCTACAATAACACCACTATATGACCGCGCAACGAAAGATGTTCATTGTATTTGTGAGCAGTGCAACGATTATTTGCTGAAATTCGTGCTCTTCGCCCGATCATCGTACAGCCACCAAACTCCGCCATATGGTTTTGCAGTGAAATGTGCATACGTTATGTGATACGCTGATACGATCATGACATTGAATAATCCGCTGGGCCAAAATTTTATAAACTTTAGGATACTCCGTTAAGCGATGCCTCGTGATCAGGGCCAGAAGAGGTGGCGCTTTTATAGGCTTGGTGTCGTTTGTAGAGGATAAAGCATGGGGAACACCACATTTCTAAAGGCAAATTTCGGAAATCTGACTAAAAATTAGCAATTTCTACTGTACATCATTTCATCTGTAACATGTAAATTTATATGTTAGAAGCACGACCATTGCATAAACCTGCGTCGCACAACTTCAACTTGTCTAGACCAGGATTTTTATGCACAATATAAACAAGTTTTTTTATTTCAGAACGCGCAAGCGAGACTGAGCCACCAAATTTGGTATGTAGCTTTGCCACGATGTTCAAAACAAGAGGACGAAAATTTATGAAAATATTAGGTGGAAGGAAGTGTAGCGGTTTGCGCCTTCTTCACAGTCCGCTGCCGTGGCGCGGAGGGTCCCGAAAGGCCACTCCCGCGCTGCTGCGCCCACTCACAGCCGCTTATGAATAGCGCCATCTTAGCATAAGGGTCAGTTTTGTCGCATGTGCCAACTTGTGTGCGGTCGGACTTCAACTTCCATCTTTGTGTCGATCGATCGAGTAGCGCCTTCCGCAACTCTCGCGTACGTCGACACCTACCACGCCAAAGAGGACTGGACGATATATCCCCGGATGCGTTCGCGCCTGACGCACGTGGCGACATCGCCTCGGGGGGTTTTCGATTTACTGGCCCCTGGAATTGTAAGATCTGGTCAGTTGTACTCTACCCTTGTGTTTGAGTGTAGGGAGTTTAGCACCTATGTTATTGATGGATGGTGAGCCACAGCTCGACTGCCACTGCTCGACACCACTAGAGGTACATGGCATCCAAAAAATCGTGACGATGGCGCGGGCGCGCGCGACGCGCAGCACATTCCTTCAACAACATTCTTGGTCTTAATCTGTTCGACTAGTTTTTCTGCTTAGGAATGATGGTATCTGAATATTGGAAGTGACTGAGCTGAGCTTTGAGATGATGCATTTTTGTATGAGAGTGTTATGCTTGCTCTTGTGGGGGCGAAGACTGCAATCAAATCCGCATCGCGATCTTACAAATGAGCTATTAGCTGTTCGTCACTTCAAAAAGGACATACATGAGAACATTTTTCTGCTTCTATGCATCTGTTACGTATCACAGGCGGGCGAGATTATACACCTATACTAGGTAGACGAGTAATGCAATATGTTTCGTTTTGAACTTCAGGCTTCAATTGTAAATTTCCATGTCCTACATACATGCACCTGTATGTAGAACATGGAAATTGCCCGCTCGGCGTAAGGCCTAAGACATACCTCACGCGATTCGGCCAAATGCTTGCTCTTGTGGGGGCGAAGACTGCAATCAAATCCGCATCGCGATCTTACAAATGAGCTCTACTTCGTAATCTTCTGCAGTATCCGGGGACTTTGTTTTTGTCATTCCAAAGCTAGCTCGTGCTAGCGCTGACTATGACACCCCAATCACGTTTGCTGAAATAACGCGCAAAATGCACCCCCAGGAACTTTTCAGCTGCATCTCTTCTTTTTCACACTATCTCACTTTCGCCGGCCAAATTTGAGGCTGAATTAGGAGTCTGAGAAGCATGGATAAACGCGCGCTTAACTTGAACTTCATCACCGGAATCAGCTGTCTAGCTTTTTGAGCAAAATGGCTGAAGTTATTTGTCCTTTCTGAGATAAACTACTTTTCCAGAGTACTTTGTCATATCATCGTTTCCCGGTGGTTTGTGCCAAGCACCTGCTAAGGGAGTCTAAAAAAATTGCGTAAATTCAGAGTTGGCTTAGAACCAACTCTGTGAACTGCGCTTTTGACATGTTCAATATTTAAGGGAAATCTTGGAGGTGTAAGACGAAAATATTTTTTCAGAATATATTTTCAAAGTTAAGAAGATTTTTCTCAAAACAGTCTTGCTACTAGTTTTTATCGGTCGAGTCATGTACAACTCAATAAGCGCATTGCACACCTGCATGCTACTTGACGAACCTTTTAGATAAGCTCATTTACAGTGTTTTTATCTTAATTTATTGTTTCCTTTGCTTTAATGGGATATGTGCTCGTAGTAATTCATAATTCTACAATATGGCAAGCTGAAAAAACTTTCACTGAGCAATTTCATCAAGGGTGCCGTCTGTTGCCCGCATAATGTGCAGACTCACCATTTACATTAGAACTCGAATAATATCTATTCTTAAATGCAAAAACCCCTCACTGCACATGTACAAAGGATGAGCACACTCAAAAGGCAAAGCAGCAAAGTCATGCTTCTTTCGTGGAGGTGTGATGACCTTACTTTATGAAAATGCCAGTCAATCCTGTAAATATAGGGACCATAGGAACCAAAACAAGCCCCTGCCAGGCCGCCTTAACACCCATGCTTGATCTTAGGCTTTGAGTAAGCCTGGTTTGGGAAACATAGTAAATTGATCGCACTGCTTGAACTTTCTTTTAGAAAAATGCTACTAAAGCAACAAACGTGTGCTGAGCAAAGCTTTCCTGCTCATCTCTCATCTGTCCTCGGTAACTCCTGCAAATGCTGCTGAATGAATTATGCGAGATATTGGTAGGTGGTAAGTGGCCCCGACTACGAATTGAACTACAGAGGTTTACTCTTCCAACACTTCCAAAATGCAACGTTCTTTGCAAATTACCCAATATTCGCAGATCGTTGTAAAGCTTGCCCTATTCTAAAAATGTCTGATAAAGCATTTTTCAAACAATCTTCTGTTATGTCGGTAAAGCATTTTGCAATCAATCTTCTGTTTCTGTTTTAGCAACAAAAAACTTAATGAAAAACGACACCTACTCTGCTTTATCCTATAAATGTGCAGAGCGCCATTTTTGATTACTAGTACTCATGAGTACCCATTCCTGTATATTTTATCTCTGCATGAAATCGTGCGAAGTTGTTTTTTCAAAGAAGAATTAAATAGTCATGTATTTGTATTTCATTCTGCTGATGTCCTCCTGGTAGCATTCCTCCTGGTGGCGTTCCTCCCATAAGTGGCATTCCACCCCTAAGTGGCATTCCTACCGTACCACCCATTCCGTACCTTGGTGCCACCAAACCTCCCACAGCATTTCCGATACCGCCAAGCACACCTGCTGCAACTGTTCCAACTCCACGTAGTAAAGAATCGACCACTTCTAAACTAGATAATGAGCGAATAACAATAAAAAGGCGCATAGAAATGGAAAACTAACGTCCAGGTGAAGGCAAGCCTGGATGAGCGGACGGCAGCATCAGGGGAAGGGTTGAGTTTGTTATGCAGACAGAACAAATCAGTACCACAATCACGAACATGTTCATGCTGAAGTATTGCAATACTAGTGAAATAATACCAATACTTTGCTTTGGTAGTTTCTGTTGTAATTGTTTGCTTTGTCGCAGTCATTTTTTTTATAAAGAAGTCCATTCATGAAAGGTTTACTCCAAGTTTCTAAATCGATTTACCGGAATCAAATGGTAATCACTGAGATTGAAAAAGCTTGAAAAACGAACTTGTTTTAGGTTAAAGTAAGTTTTGTGCAAGGTGAAGTTGAAATCAACAGAGAATGCCTTTATTAGCTCTTCATCTTTTCAAGACAAGTTTTTCCTTGCAGGTCTCTGTCTGCTTATTTGGAAGCGAAGAACTTTGATGTGCTCATTTTTGACACAAATAGCGCTTTAATACCTCAAATATTAGGTTAGAAACTAAGTTTTGCAACTCATTTGATAAGATTCCTCTCGCTCAACATGGCGCACTCAAATTTTGCCACTGTGTTGGATATGAAATAGACTACAAGCGCAGCTGCTGTTCTGCCAAATTCTGATGTTGCAGTAAGTATACGGTAGGTGTACTTTTTAAAGGGGAAAATTATAAAATTTAGCAGGTTTGGCTAGCACTTGGCAGGGGGAGGGGTAGTTCGACTTGCTGATCACGAAAACGGTACTGAAGTTGCATGCTAAGGGCTTTTTTGTAAGATTACTGTAAGTGTACGATATGGGGTCTCAGCCTAAACAAGGAAAGAGGCGTTGATTCAACAAATGAATATGATATTCGTGTTTAGCAGATCAAAAAACTCGATATGTAAAGGCCCTGGTAATTTTGTGATTCGGACTCCTTAGTCATTGACGCCCCAGCAGCCTGGCGTACAGCAACTTGTTCGTGTTTGTGAGGGCGCCAAATCTCGACTTGCCCCTAAATTTTGCTTCTTTTTTGGTGGGCCGAATGAGTCAACCTTTAGCAACAATTCGTACACGATTCCGGATTTATTGCACATGTTCGAGGCTGCTAATGGCTTCATTTTGGCTTGAAAGCCCAAAAATTCTCAAAAATCACTGGTTTTCGGAAAATGTCTGGGACTTTCTAATTTGTTTTCAAAATTCAAACAGTTTTTGTCGGGCACACATTGGGCTCTACATACTGCCAAGTTTGAGTGCGCCACATCCAAAGAGAGTCGAGCTATGAAGATAGTTGCAAAACTTAGTTTGCAGCTTAATAAAACTTCTTTCACTACTGTTTGGCTATGATTAGAATTCTTAGCAGCTAGCTTCAGTGTTTAAAGGTAAATTTGTCAATCCGATTGCTTTAGTAAAAAGATGTTTGCTTTGCCTGTTATCTTGCAATCTATTTGTTGCTTCAAAATATGACTTATAAGAATGACATAAGCTAGCATATCATTTTACGGGATATCCGGCCTACTACTTGTGGATATGAAACAAATCGTTAGAAACTCGCACTTATTTTCTAAAAAGGCAAGGTACTATGTAATGATTTACAAACTGCTAGATGGAAGTATTCGAATACAGCTAAAAATAAGAAATGCTCTCACTCTGCTTCAATATGATGAAGTTCCCAGTATTAAAGCCGCTCTCTGAAATGAAACAATAAAAGGAAGCTTACATTCGCTTCACTTGGGAAATTAGCGAGATGATTAACATTTGGTAAAGTTGAGAAGTTGCTTAAGTTTCTCAAAGTAGATAAAAAGCCAATTGCGTTGTTTAGAAAAGGTGCAAGTGGTTTCGGCACCCAAATTTTGATGAAACACTGCCTTGGATGCTAACGTGCGCACTTCGTCACTTCAAAAAGGACGGTAGACGAGTATTACAATATATTCCGTTTTGAAATTCAGGCTTCAATTATAAATATCCATGCCCTACATACATGCACCTGTATGTAAAACATGGAAATTGCACCGTTTGGCGTAAGGCCTAAGACATACCACACGCGATTCGGCCAAATCGCTACTTCCACGCGACTTGGAGATTTGTCAGATTTCCACGCATTTGTGCGCGCTTCTCGAACGCATATTCGGCTAGCTTGTGTAAGTTGTTGCAAATGAGTCAAGTTCTGACCAGAGAAAACGCACTAACGTTAAATTACCAAGAGTCTTTGTTCCATATTGCGCAGCGACGGAATCGCGCGAGGTATGCCTCTGGCCTCAAGCAATATTCGATAGAGATAAGACGTAACATTGAAATCACAGTATAAAGACAAGAAAGATTACTATATATGATAGAGGTGGCATTTCGATGCCTAGCAGAGACACATATGGTCAAGAACCATACGATGTAGGCTGTTTTCAAATACGCCGAAATCACGCTAAAATGCATTTGCCGCGAAATTGCTTGAGACAATTCTTTTATGCTGAGAAAAATGCCGTCAATATGTATTAGGTCTCCCAAAACTACGCTGTCGAAGAATTGAACTGTTTTTGCTCTTCTAGCTGACTTCACGTGAAGGATAACGGTGACCATGATCTTTTGAATCTTATATATAAAGCTGAATGTCTGTTTGTATGTATGTCTGTATGTATGTATGTCTGTACGTATGTTCCGAATAGAAAATTCCATTTCTGAACCGATCCGGACCAAACTTGGCACACATACACTACGGGCCCCGGCGGGTGTCATAGGCTACTTTTCGTCATCGATCGATATCGATTTTATCGATTTTTATCGATTTTTTTGCTGAGTTCACCTACGGGGCTGGGAGTTGGCACAGGGGGGTAATCGAGCATGGGGATTCCGAATACAATATTGGTTTTCAGAATTATCGATTACTTTTATCGATTTTATCGATTTTTTTGCAAAGTTTGAGCTACGGGGCTGGGAGTTGGCACAGGGGGGTAATCGAGCATGGGGATTCCGAATACAATATTGGTTTTCAGGATTATCGATTACTTTTATCGATTTTATCGATTTTTTTGCAAAGTTTGAGCTACGGGGCTGGGAGTTCGCATAGGGGGGTAATCGAGCATGGGGATTCCGAATACAATATTGGTTTTCAGGATTATCGATTACTTTTATCGATTTTATCGATTTTTTGCAAAGTTTGAGCTAGGGGGCTGGGAGTTGGCACAGGGGGGTAATCGAGCATGCTGATCATCCCCAAGGGGGGTGATCAGCATGCTATTACACCCCTGTGCCAAATTCCAGCCCCCTAGCTCGAAGTTTCAAAAAATCGATAAAATCGATAAAAGTAATGGACGATCTTGAAAACTAATATTGTATTCGTAATCTGCATGCTCGATTACCCCCCTGTGCAAACTCCCAGCCCCGCAGGTCAAACTTTACAAAAAAATCGAAAAATCGATAAAAGTAATGGACGATCCTGAAAACTAATATTGTGTTCGTAATCAGCATGCTCGATTACCATCTGTGCAAAATCCCAGCCTCGCATGTCAAAATTTACAAAAAATCGATAAAATCAATAAAAGTAATCGATAATTCTGAAAACTAATATTGTATTCGGAATCCCCATGCTCACTTCCCCCTGTGCCAACTCCTAGCCCTGTAGGTGAACTCTGCAAAAAAATCGATAAAAATCGGTAAAATCGACATCGATCGATAACGAAAAGTGGACTGTGACACCCGCCGGGGCCCGAAGTGTATGTGTGCCAAGTTTGGTCCGGATACGGCGGAGCCGGGTAAGCCAGCTAGTATGTTATATAACAAATTGCTCGTTTTAAAACTCTGATCTCGGAACATATTCATCAACTGCAAAACGCTTTTCTGAGAAAAAATAACGCCCGTGAAAGCCAGCGCAAGAGTATCTGCAACGATGGAGATCAAATCGAAATCCACTGTTCCCTATCGCCATAGCTTTCACGGGCGCTATCGACAACACTAGTTACTGCAAAGGATGACCAGTCGAAGTGGCCTTTTGCGATTATTTGTAAACCTTGTTGGAGGGCATAAAACGCTGATTCCAAATATGTCTTCCTTATCTGCGGCGCTGCGGCGCGTTCTTGCATGAGAAGTCACGAGCGTTTCTTGGAGAAAAAATTGAATGCGCAAATAATATAAATCAATAGTAAACATTTTTTCTAGCTTTCAAATGGACCAGTTATAATTTTTCAGCACCCTAAAAAATAATCTTAGATGAGATATATCCGCACTCCGGCTGTCTCATTCAAGCGCTGGGAAAATTTTTGCAACTGTTTTTACCCCAGAAAAACATCATTTTTTGCTCTTTCAAACACTCATAACTCTTTGTACAGGAAGAATCAGCGTTTTATGCGCTCCAACGAGGTATACAAATATTTGCAAAAGGCCACTTCGACTGACTATTCTTTCCTTGTAAGACATGGCTAAATGAGGACATCCGAGCAGTACGATCGCGATCTGAAGACAAAGAATACGGACGTTAGAAGCAGCTATGGACATATGTGGATGCGTTTCTGATCCAGTGCACGTTTCACCATATACCGCAAAAAATCCATAGAGCCAAATCCAGGTTTCGCAAATTGCTAAAAAAAAGCATATTATTTGAGATAGATAACATATTATTATTATAAGAATTAAAATGATATGTTTTTGTTAAAATAAGCATATTACTTTGATCACTGCATTGGGTTAGCTCGAGTCTTCTTTAGCGGGCTAACTTATATTATGTTGAGTATCTCAAGTAATATGCTTTTTTTAGCAATTCGCGAAACCTGGATTTGGCTCTATGGATTTTTTGCGGCATATGATGAAACGTGCACTGGATGAGAAACGCATCCACATATGTCCATAGCTGCTTCTGACGTCCGTACTCTTTGCCTTCTGATCACGATCGTACTGCTCGGATGCATATAAAGTGTGATGACTTTCATGCAGGTCCACGTTTACAATACTTTCGTTATTCGCTTTACTCCTTCTTTATTCCAGAATGAGGACCCTCTTCCTCCTTTTTCTACTCGTTTGCTAGCTGCCAGCCTGCTGGATTGGAAGAAAGTGAACAAACTCAGAAATACATTGGCCAAGTTGAATGCGGTAAGATTCTAACATAGCCACAGTCATATACAATAAGAAATTCTGAATTAAGAACCTGGATGTTGATCAATTATTTGCAATTCGCCAGAAACTCGATAGATACATGAAATTACCGAAGCTGGACTCCCAACAGCAAGCTCATCTAACTCAAAGATTGAAGGTAAAAATTGTAAAAATGATAAACCCTTTTGAACTCTTTCCCATATGATGACCCATTAATGTAACAAAAAGTGATTCAATTGACTAAATAAACGAAGAAAGTGGAATTTCGGACCTACTATATCAAGGAGATATGATTCTGACAGAGTAGTATTTGATTTTTTTCTTCGTATTTCTTCGATATACCATTCCAGAGAGCAAGCTGACAAGCTTATTGAGGGATAAGATGGTGCTCGGTTCGCAGATAGGCGGATGTTGAAGTTGATAAGTGGGACAAAGTACTATACTTCTCTTTCGACAGCACAGCAGGTAGGTCATTTACTAGTCGGACCGGATTACCTCTAGAAGATAAAGTCTTCTAACCCCACTGCAGATGAGAAGATGAAAACTGCCGCTCGCAGAGGAACTAATTTATGGCACGATAATATTTGCATCGATATGATTGAAGACAACACAGGTGACAAACTTTTCAATTGGAAAAGCTTTAGCTAATCAATAGCTTGTTCTCAGCCTCTGACCGTGTCAAAGTTTATAAAGGGGAGGGATGCAACTCTAATGTTGGAAGGATACATGGATTGCAAACACTTTTACTCGGAAAAGGATGTGAATATGTTTTTGGCATTTCGTAAAACACCATAAGATTAGCTGACCACAGAAACGAATTATAGAGACAGAAGCAAATGTAGAAATCGAAAGAGAAAGAGCTGTAGCCCAAATTTGAAAATAACGTGAAAGCTTTCATAGTTTCTGTTTCTTTCTTTCCGGATAAAACTTGGATTTTGTAAAGTGAAGCCTTGTGCCTTTTAGTACTGGACAGCTGCGCACGAGTTGGTCATGCTCTTGGGCTGCATCCTCAGCAAGATCCGACCGTGATCGTTACGTAGATATCAATTTCAACAACATCAGGGTGAGTGTAGGCCACATTGAGTATCCTGAGGCCATCGTTGAACGGGAATAACTTGAGGATGGCAAGGCACACAATTTTGACAAAGAGGAAACTGCTAACAACTATGGTATACCTTGAGACTTTGGTAGCAGGATGCACTATGATGGAAATGCGTAAGTTTCTGGAAATTCTTAAGCTTCATACCATCATTTTTCGTTTCAGTTTTGCTATAGACGAATCGATGCCAACAATAGTACCACACAAGGAATATGAACATTATCGTAAAACGATGGGCTCACCCTTTTTAGGTTTTTATGACATACTTCTGATGAACAAACACTATGGTTGTCTTGGTGAGCACTCTCGTCTTTACCTCAACTAGGTAAATAAGAACGATAATGTTTAAACACTTGTGCAAGGCTGATTGAGCAAGATTTGATCAGATCTGATCTGATCTGAACTGAGAGATCTGCAAGTTGCGCTGTCATTGTTTGCTATGGCATACCATATAGCTTATATTTCTTGAGAGTCTTTTTTTGGCGCCACTTGGTCCTTCGTAACCAAAATAATTGTATCAGCAGAGTCCACATTAGTACCACATTCAAGGCCTTTTACTCAGCGAACCGAGTTTACATTATTGAAGCACTAATTATGCAATACACAAGCGTTGCCAAAGTAATTTCTCTTCTATAAGCGTTTTGTTCGAAAGGTGTTAGTGGTGTTAGGAAGAGCTGTCAGTAGGTATATATCGGTATCGGAGATTCATTCCTGTCAGACAGAAGTCAATCTCATCTTCACTTCGCTTAGTGGAGACCGCATTCTACTATAAGCCTGGCGGGTACCTTGCCTTCGTTCAAAGCTGTTTCTGTTTATGCAGCGCT